GTATAATAATAATATATTATAAAGAACTATACTTGTCAGATAGTTTTTTCCATTGTTTCATATAAATTCGATTATAAGCCACATTTATGGGGAAATTTAAACGATCTTGTAAAAATTCTAAAGCACCTTGATTTTCCATAAATAAAGGTACTTTGTATATTGAATCCAAATCATGCATAAACAAAACCTAAAAAAATATACTATTTTAAGAATTAAAACAAATACTAATAAAATAAGTTAAACATACTTGTCTTGAAGCTACATCACAGAAAGTCGATATTTTTCTTTTAACTTGTTCAACATTAGAACATGGTTTTGTACTTCTACAAATAACAAGATCCGGTGTTAAACCTAAACCTCTTAGTTCACGAACACTGGCTTGAGTTGGTTTTGTTTTGTCATCCCCAGTTGCACCAGGCTATAGAAAAAATGTTATTATTAAGTGAAAATATATCCTAAAAAAATATGAATAATTAAAAAATATTATATGTACCTGAAGAATAAATGAAACATGGGCACACACAAAATTTTCTTTTTTCACTTTAAATTGAAACTGTCTAAAAGCTTCAACAAATGGCATGCTTTCTATGTCACCAATTGTACCACCAAGTTCAACAACACAAACCTTATAGCATAATATTATTATTAAGTAGGTATTCATAATTTAATACGACAGGTATATTCAGTGATGTGTTTGGTATTTTTACATTAGATTTAGTATAAGTAACAAACTACTGTTGTTGGTATTGCAAATTGTATATTATGTACTAGAAAAAAGTTTGTTACAAATTACCAATTCAACTTATGACAAATATACATAAATAGCTAAAACCAACTTCATACAACATAAACAGTACTTAATATTCTATGCATGAGAATAAAATATATGTTTTCAAATAATTATGTATAGTATTAAAGTTTATTTATATCATATTAATTTATTAACCGTATTGTAAACATTTTATATTTATTAGAGAAGGAAATTGAATTGTGACAACAACTRTTTCATTTTAGAAAAACCTTTAAAACAACCACATCTTCTGGTTTGACAAGCACTTTTACACGAACAATTTAAAAATCTCTGACCTCCAGATACAATTTGAACAGTTTTACGMAAGGTTAATTATTTTTGTTTGTCAACTTATTCACCTAAAATACAATTCATTTTCTTGCTTTAATGAATAAAAAATGTTTACAATACAGTTAATAAATAAATCTAACGTAAATAAACTTTATTACTATACATAATTTACTAATTTATAAGGGTAGAATAAGTTACTAAATGTTGTATTTTAGTAAACAAAGTGGCCATTCACTTTGTGAAAAAAATTACACAATGTTAAATTTTCACAAAGTGTAAAAAATGTGTTTCATTTCATGAAATTGTCATCTTTGCATGAAAAGATCAATTTCGCAAAGTGGTTACGACATATACATTTACAATGAAATATATTGATAAATCATATGCAAATTATTATTTATTAACCAGATACGTAATAATATGCAATACATAAACCTTACTACAGGTATTAAAAATACTATAAATAATCTTACATCAGGTTCTACTTGATCATCGCTCACTGGTTGTTTAGCTACACGTTCAACCCATTCTTGTATTGCGTCTGTTATATGGGGTATAACTGAAAAACATAATTATGATAAATTGCAAAGCACTTTTAAAAATCACATAAATTAATTAATACCTACCTAAATTGAAAGGAATTAATAAATGCTATAAAATATAAATGCTTTATGGATAAAAATTTAAAATGTATATAAACATTGCTATTGAGATAAAAGATTGACAATAATACTAACAAGATATTTAAATATGTTATTTATTTTTTTAATATTTATATCCAATTAGTTAATTATATTTAAAAAAAAAAAAGTAAATCAATATTGTATATTTTACTTTTAGAAACCATATAGGTAAGTAGTATTAAAAAATATACAGTGCATATAAATTGTTAGATAAAAAATACAATTTCCTAAATCAATACTTATAACAAATATATAAGTATTTATTAGTTAAAAATAAAGATATTTTTCATTAATAATGTTTTTAAAACTATATTTAAAATAAATATAAATTCTTAACTTCCAATTATAACAAACTTAAAATAAAAATGAACCACTCATAAACATTCTCACCAAGCATTTTGCTATATTTTACAATAATTGGTGACCCAATTACAAAAGTATCAAACTATAGTCATTCTGGCTTATTCTAATTAATGGGATGAAAGCCGTTGAACAGTGAGGTTAGAATAAACATGATTACTTATTGTTAGTCCAGTGGTTCACTTCTAACCTGAATAGTTCGATTATAGTCCTTACATCAGGAGATTATTAATACAAGTTAAATTTATAAATTGAATATTTCAGGTTTCTAGTGACTTAATAATTATTTTTGAGTTCATCAATCACAATAAACTTTGAATAATTATGAAAAGCTATTGATGATGACAAACACAACAATATATTCTGTGTGTGAAACCTTTAATACATTTTCTACATAATTTTGTTTCAAATAATGAAGCTTATTATTCAGAAGTTAAGAAATTTGTTTCAATGTCATGTAATGTATAAGCATAATTTTTATGATAATACAATGGATATCATTAATAGTATGGATGAAATTAATTGGTATATTTATCTATTAATTGGTCTAAGCATTTATATTCATGATATATTTGATTTTTAAAACAAGACACACGCTTGTATTTAATTTAGTTCTGTAAAAAAAATTACAACCAGRTTATACACATTATATTTTATTGTATTAAAAGCGGAAATTGTCTTCCCACACAAAATTCAAATCCTGTTTTATGTTACACCTGTATAATGTGTTGAGACTCACCTGTTTCACAAAATAGTGTAGAAGTAACCAACCTACCAGCTAAATTTTATGTTATATAAGACAAAACGTATCGATAAGTTAATTTTATAATAATCTGATTTGGACAGTAAATTAGTGTGACTGACATAAAAATTATTTTTAGTCCACTAGGCAGAAAAAAAGCTCTATCCTACATTTTAACCTAGCATTAAAATTAAACTTAACATGTATACATGACAAGAATTATTTTACACCCTGCGCAAATTCATCTTAAAACAATTAATTATTTTAGAGAGTAGTAAGCAATTAAGTAAAAATGTAAAATAAATTATTATAGCTTTGTTAATAAATCATCTGAAAATTGAAGATACCTTGGACAGTTTTTCCTAAGTAATCACCACGTCTTTCACGATTGATAACTTCTTGATATATTTTTCCAGTTGTAAGATTGTTTTGGCTATGCAAAGTGACATCAAGAAATCGTTCATAGTTGCCCAGATCCAAATCAACTTCGCCACCATCATCCAGCACATATACTTCACCTAAAAAGACAAATTATCACCTGTTTAAATTCATATAGGCATATTAAACAAAGTAGAAAATTAATTATATGCAATTTAAAATGTTTTCTAGTATGTATTCTATAGTAGTGTTGGATTAAATAGAAATTTAAGATAGAATGTAAGAAACTATACAATTTGCTGAACATATTTTTAAAATTCCAATTTTAAATTGTATTGTATAGATGATTTATAACACCTATATTCTACAGCCAAATTTGTAAAACGTATCTATTTACACTAGTAGGTATAATAATACCTAGGTATTCATTGAAGAAAAGAATTATCATTAAAAAAAATGTGTACAACCACATATTTTGGAATTTGATTTTCTCACTTAATTTGTAACTAGTCAATTCATAAAACTTATATATATATTTATATTAAAGCTTGAAAAATACAATAGCTGTGCGATGCAATTCTGAATGTTATGAAGGAAAACACTGAGGTAAGGATTTGACATGCCAATGAGTAAATAAAAAAAATATATAGCAGTCAGAAATGTTAAAAAAAAAAGTATTAACAGCTACAGCTTGGATTGAAACAATATTTTTAAAAAAAGGAAGTGTTTTTCGAGCATATTTCGAAGGATCATTGATCAAGTAGCACAAACTGAGATCTGATCATTACACGCACACACCGTGTTCATAAGGTGAGAAAGTCCCGGCATCAATGTTCAGATACGGGTCGATCTTAATGGACGTCACGTGGACGCCGCAGGACTTCAGAAGAGTGCCGATAGACGAGGCGATGATGCCCTTGCCCACGCCGCTCATGACACCGCCGGTGACCAAAATGTATTTCATGATTTAATGATTTATTATTCTTCTGGACAAAAGAGATCGAGGAACACCGAGGACGACCGTAGTAAATGTCTTGAACACGCGAACAAACACACTGAAGACTGAACGGCACAGAAAACCGGTAAAGACAATACTAATGGGTACAATAACACTGTTGAGATATAAGATATAATATAGATTGAGCGTCCTCGTCGTCTCCACGATATCGACAATAAAGCAATAAACTATAATTGACAATAGTATCGTAGAATGTAGACTGCACAACATACATGCATCGGCGCCGGTAGTTAATGGACTAAATGGTTATGACAAAGGGACGACGCTGCGACGTAAATCCGCGAAGTTTCACCGTTAAGTACCCAACGAGAACGTCCACAAAGTGCAAGTACTGCAAATTAGTAATTACAATAGTTAATAGACTAGGCTACTACGGATTACCGATTACGGATAGTTATTCGCCAACATGAGCAATAGCATTGGAATTATTTTTAATATTGTATTTTGTATTGTTGTAGTAGTTGAGGGTCGACAACATTTGGTTGGCGTGCGAAAAGCGCGGAAAAACATAAACACACATTTTTAGGTTATTGGTTTTTATAATTGTTACCATATAATTCCGCAATGGTAACTTAACAGAATACCCGTGGTTACGTGGTAACTTAAGATAGTAGTATTTTCGTTCGGTGAAAATAATGATAATCGTACTATCAAAATTCTTGGTATTTTTTAAGAAAATAAAATAGATTATCTGTATTTATTATAAATATTTATGCCTATCTTTGTATTCAACATTGCCATCTATGATTTTATTTATTCTGAGGTGCGTGATTGCGAATGCCAAGTCCGTGTTTCGTCTCTTGACAATGTTATGATTTATGGMGTAATGCCGTAATGCACTCTTACGATTTTTTCCTACAGGCTCCTACTTCAAATTGGATCATTGAAATTATCTTTGCCACGAAGGTCAAGGACAAACGTGTTCAATTGATAAGAGAACTGATCAGCTTATTGATATAATATTCAAATACTTTTTCTCTATTTCTCTGCCACTATAATAGTCTAATACATATCTGTTTTAGTTTTACTTGACATTTTCCCCTTGAGTCTCGACTAGTTAAAAGTTTTTTCTTCATAACACACCATTTCATTTGTATACTAAACATGTCGTCCAAACAAAAAGTGTGCATTTTAGGATCGGGAAATTGGTATGTATTCAATTTATGTATGAAATGGTTCGAAGCATTTTCCATTAATTAACTGAATTTTTTATTGTTTTTTAATGTTAACAAATTAAAAAAAAAAATTTGGAGAATATTCTGCATCATCACAAATCAGTATTAACAGTTAAAATTATTATAATTTTGTTTTATTTCGATTGAAACATTGCTAATATAATATATTGTTTTTTGAACTTCAATAGTTTATGTTCTGTATTTTGATTAAACCAATCATTTTAATTTCGTTAACATTTTTTTACAACTTTTTATCAAAATATATTGTTCAACATACACAATGTTTATCATAAAAATATTCTTATAAGGTTACAAATTCTGGAAATTATTATTTGATGGTAATTATATTAATAAATTCAGCATAAATTGATGTGATATAAAGAATCTTATTTTTAGTTAGTAAATATTAGAATTTCATTAGAAAAACAATTTTTTATTTTTATAGGTATTGTGATTTTTTTTTAAATATTTTAAAAATATTATGTTTATGGACAAGTTTTGAAAAATAAAATGTCTTTATAATATCTTTAATTATTAAATTATCTATCTTTAATATTATTTTAAATATTTTTAGTAAATTACCATTTATTTATTAAATACTAAAATAACAACCTTAGATAAATTTGGAATAAAATCATTTTACAAATATTTACCTATCTTAAATCAATCTGTTGTACTATTGTCTTGATTTTTCATTCATTTGAGTTTGAAAAAATAGGAAAATCATTTTTATGTTGTATTATAAAAAATGTCAAGTATACTTCATTATTGAGTAGGTCACTATAATAGATTTGTTAAATTAGAATTAAATGATTTTGTTTTTCCTAATTACCTATTTTGATAAATACTGTAACATATTGATCAGAAACTTCCCTCAAAGTAAAGTTTATCTTTGTATCATTTTTTTCTTCTAGAACTTTAGACAAAAAAAAACCATTGAAAAATCAATACATAGGTACTATGCTACGCTCAAAATATAAAATCTAAAATTTTATATTTATCTTATATCGTTATGAAACAAATTAAATTATTCTTTGGATTAAATATTTTATGTAATAAATTTATAAAAACACACAGTATTTAAAGTTAAAATACAATTTTAACCTTATGAAATTTTATTGGAGTGTGGTTTTACAATTTGTTATTTATATAATGTATAGGGGTTCAGCAATAGCAAAAATAATTGGTACAAATGCAGCTCGTTTGGATTCATTTGATTCCTGTGTTAAAATGTGGGTTTATGAAGAAATAATTGAAGGGAAAAAATTGACCGAAATAATTAACACCACTCATGAAAATGTAAAGTATTTACCTGGAAAGAAACTACCTGAAAATGTGGTAAGTTTTTGCTGAATAATTTATTATTAATTTATACTCTGAACTTTATCCAATTTTTTCCCAAAAATAACAAAAAGGCATATTATGTACTTAATAAAAATAATATATAAGCCGGTTAATCATAAATATAATAGAGTATTGAGCAAATGTTTAAAGTGGGTTTATGTATATAATAAAAATATATTTAATTGAATAACTTGCACGTTAATGGAAACTTAAATTAAAAATGTATTTTATGCTTATGCAATTTTTAATTATTATTCATACCATTATATTCTCTCATTTAATATAAATACTTATGTAATATATAGATAATATTGTAATATTTGTTATAATTAGACATGTAGGTAATTAAGTATGCACTAATAGTGTAGAATTAATTATTATATATTTTTTTAACAGTAGGTGTGTAAATATATGACAATGACATGGATTAAGGGCATTAACTATCTTCAATGTCATTTAATTTTTAACTCATATTTATTTGACTTACAGCCAATGTCTTGGCAATATAAAATTTACTATTTATTATGTAGTTCTAATGTTATTGAAAAAAAAAAATATATTTAGCTTCTAAAATTAATTGTGTTTTAGTACCTACTAAATACTTCAATTCAAAAAAGTTAAATTATATCAATTTTTTTTCCAATTCAATAGGTACTTGAAACTTGATGTGCGTCCAATACAAATATATTAAATTATTGAGACTATGTACATGTTTTCATTATTTAAACCATATGTGATTTATTAGGTACATTTAGTTTTGTTTGTTGTCATTAAAGCTAAAACTATATTTCAGTTTAATATTGTATTTAATATGTTTAGTTGATTAATATATAATAGAAACTTGTTTAATTAAATCAACAATTAACCCCGTTAAATTTAATAGTAACTAACAAATAGTATTTAACTTGTTATATAATAGTAAAAATTTAATTGACTTTACTTAAAATTATAAGAATATTATTATAAGTTAAAATAATTTTAGGTAGCTGTACCTGATGCTGCTGAAGCAGCTAAAGATGCTGATATTTTAGTGTTTGTTGTTCCTCATCAATTCATACCAAAATTGTGTGCTAGCCTTGTAGGGTTCATAAAACCTTCCGCTACAGCACTTTCTTTGATTAAAGTATTTATTTATTATATCTAAAAAATGTAATTCATAACTTTTTTAATACTATTTGTAACTTTATTTTAAAGGGATTTGATGTAGCAGAAGGTGGTGGAATAGCCCTGATTTCACAAATTATCCAAAAACATTTAAAAATTGATGTATCTGTGCTAATGGGTGCTAATTTGGCCAATGAAATTGCTGATGAAAAATTTAGTGAAACCACTATTGGTAAATAACTTTTATATAAATTAGTTTGATTTATATTAAGAAATATTTTTATTTAGGATGTAAAGATAAAAAAATTGGACAAATTCTTAAAGATGTAATCCAGACTGACTATTTCCGTGTCTCTGTTGTTGATGATGTTGAAGCTGTTGAAATTTGTGGTGCACTAAAAGTATTAAACTTAAGTTCATTAAATAAATAACTTATACTAGGGTATACGTTAACATGTTTTATTTGTCTATTTAGAATATTGTGGCTGTCGGAGCTGGTTTTGTAGATGGTTTGAAATTAGGAGACAACACTAAAGCAGCTATAATACGTATAGGTCTTATGGAAATGATTAAGTTTGTTGATACATTTTACTCCAATGCTCGACTCAGTACATTCTTAGAATCGTGCGGTGTTGCTGATTTAATCACTACATGCTATGGTGGTCGTAATAGAAAAGTATCTGAAGCTTATGTGACATCAGGAAAGGTAAATAAAACCTATATAATTTATTTCCTATCGCAATTTAAACTAACTCATATAAGATATTGCAAACTAATACCCAAATTTTTCATGTTAACAAACTGTTAAGATCTGGTTATTTTTAGATTAATATTTTCATTTATTTTCATTCTGGATTTACTGTCATGTACTATTTAGTTAAAAATATATAATCCTGATAACATTTTTTCAATAATTTCCACTAATCCTATGACAGCTATTATTTGATTATTATATTATAATTTACTATACTTAGATAATTAAAGTCTGTTTGTTGTGTAGTGAGTTCTATCACAATGGCTGTTCATAACACACTCATTAACATATCTCTTAAATATTTTTAATGACTTAACTGTTATTGTTTACAATTAAATAATTTGAATGGTTTTTATTAATAGTTTGAAGTTCATAAGAAAATAAATAATAATTTATTAGGTATCCATTATCTCATAATAAATCCATGCAATAAAAAAATGTCAATATATATTCACAAAATAATCATAGTTCATATTTGTGTGTATAATTTAAATGTTTTTCCAATAATATTTAATGAACTATTTATCAATTTTTAATAAAATGTATGTTGAATGTTGTAAGTATCTGGATATATTTTGAATAAGATAATAATATTATTACCAATAATGACCAATTAATATTCTATCATTGTTAAATTAAGTATAATTTATTTTCTGTATATATTATTGTTTATTAGTCAATTGAAGAACTAGAAAAAGAATTGTTAAACGGACAAAAACTTCAAGGACCAATCACAGCTGCTGAAGTAAACTTTATGCTCAAAAATAAAAATATGGAAAATGAGTAAGATTAAACATTATATTTTTTTTAAAGAAACGTATTCCTTAAATTATTTTTAAATTTATTTCAGTTTCCCGTTGTTTACAACTGTTCATAAAATTTGTATTGGAGAATTAAAGCCTAGTGATTTAATTGAACAAATGAAATTGAATACAAACATGTAAGTTATATATTATTTATTATACTCACCAAGCTATTAACATTTATAAATTAAAGTGGTGTATTTTGGATTTGTAAAAGGAAAAAGACTAATTTTGTTTAATTATATTAAGATATAAAAAAGTTTGTATCGACATCTTAGATAATAATATGATCTAAGATAAACATGGCTCACAAGGAATTAATACCTATAAATACACCACTGGTAAATTATGTTTATATTGTTTAATAGTTATCGATATAATCTTAAGTTTAATTTAAAAGTAAAATTTATTTTTATTGGTAAATAATATTTTATTTATTCAGCTTAATATATTTCATTAACTGTAGTAAAATGTATCCTCATTGTATCTCTTATTTTACTGTGTATTTTATAATTTAATATTTGAATATATATTTTTATTTAATTGCATATAATCAGATTCAATTGAACTGTGTAGTTTAAACTAATTTTTTCAACTATTAGTCATAGATTTGTAAAATTATAGGATCAAGTAGGTAATCTATTTTTATTTTTACTTTCTATAATATGCATTTGTGTTGATATATTTTTTACTGATGTGCATTAGTAATTAATAATCGTTGTTATTGTTTTTGTTTAATTATTTTTAATCTTAATAGTATATTATTTTCTTATATAATTTACTTCTATGCACTTGAAATTATTGTTTTTGAAACATTAGTAGTTATCATAGGCGTGTTAATGGGTATGGACAATCTGGCCATGGCCAAACCTGTGAAATTAATGATCCTCCCCACCCTACACTTTTACCACAATCATTGAGTATACACGAAGATATCAATATTATATCAAATTTTTTATCATAGACAAAGGGCAATTTCATGGATATCACGTGATATTTTGATATCTACTCATAGAATATAATTAATGCATCGAGGTAGATAAGAATATTTAAAAAAATATTGTTTTGGAGTTTTATTAAGTTATTGTAGTTTTAGTTTTAGGACAATATCGGTAACAAGTTGCTCTTGTGAGCATTTTCGAAATTAACGATAGTGAAATCAAAACTTTGTAATACAATGTCTCAACAAATACTTGATTCATTAATGTTTTTATTTATTGAATAACAGATGACCAATAACATAAACTATGACAATGTAATTAAAGAATTTAAAGTTATGACACCATCAAAACGCCATCTGGAGTTATAAGAGTATTAAGTTAAAAAAAAAAAATAATTGTAATTCTACTAAAATGTAAATAGCAACAAAATAAAGGATGAAAAATAAAAATGTTTATTATGTATACTTCATTTTTAAAAAACTTTTCTTGGCCATACTTGCAAACGAATCCTAGACACGCCTATGGTAGTTATGTTTCATGCATGCCATTCACTAGTTCAAATAATAGAAGTATTTATATAATATTTACAGGTCTGACAAATTAAATCTGGACAAATGTAACCTGTAGGAATAATACTTGTTTTTTAATTCAAATACAAATATAAGTTTTGTTTAATACATTTATATTGTTTTATTTTATTTTTAGAAAAACTGAACAAGCTGATGGAGAATAAAAAAGATAGTTGTTCCAACATTGTTAGGTTGTCATACAGTATGACTTTATTTTTGCAAAAGTTAGATACTATATTTATACAATTAATATTTACAATGCACATCTATGTCAGTCTGTCTCATATATCTCTTGTTAATGTTAAACGATGTAGAATTATTTATGTCACATATGTAGTTTTTAAATGTTTATGGCTTTTTTTTTGCACTACCTCAAACAAAAATGCACCAATCAAAATGTTACCAAATTGTATTGTATTAAGGCAATCAAACATAAATATAAACATAGGATTTAATAGTTAAAATAAATAAATATGTATTAAAGTAAGGAAACAATTATCAACCCAGAAGTTACAATTATGACTAGTAACAATATTTCTTTAAAACTGCTTGGATCATCTGCGTAGCGATTTTTGATGGTTAACCTTTGATTTTTTATTTCCAATAATGGTATAATAATATTCAATATATCTGGTATCATCAAGAAGAGATCTCTTATCACCTAAAAATAAAACTTTTTAAGTTAAAAAAAATTAATATGAAGAACATCAATATTTAGTACTATTACTATACATCTGACTTACACATAATTTAAACCAAATTAACATATTATATTGTCATATTGATGATTCGTCTTTCACTTTAAATGTATTTGTAGCGTTAAAAAAAGTTGTGAATGTTCAAAATATCAACAGAATGTTAAATTATGTTGACTTGATTATTCAATTTTTAAATGATGTTGTTCAGTAAATACCACAATTTACACACATTGTATGCGTGTCTAATGAATTAACTTAAATATAATAAACATCATGGTATTTTCTCAGTATGAACTTGAATTATTATCAAAATATGAATAATTGAATGATTTGATTAAGGATAAGCCGTATCGTTTTCACATTTGACAAGGTCATTAACTCGATACCAATGATAAATACCTAGTATTTAGTAAAAGCAAATAAATAAAAAAAATTAGATTAAAATACACAATGTGTAACAGATATAATTGCATATTGGAATAACTTTTGCTCAAATTAATATTTTTTTGTTCATTAAGTCTTATTAACCCTATCACTACATGTATAATTATTTTTTATTTTTTTTAGTACTGAAAATAAAAATATTTAAATTGAATATCTATATTTTATACACTATACAACTATTTTTACTGACAAGTAACAATACTATTTGTTTGTGAAAAAAATCTTACTTGATGTGCAAATCCACTTCCTCCAATTACATTAATAACAAACTGATCAAAGCCAGCAGCTAACATATGTGTTAAGCCTACAGCAATGATAGAAAACAAATAGAATTTCTTTATTTCTTTTTTACGATCGCATATTAAGTACAGAATACCAGTAGAATATAGTTCAGTTACAGTGAAGAATATCTGATGATTCCATTGCGAATAGAAATCATCGTTCCAATAGTTAACAAATGACCACCTTGAAAACATTGCATTGTCAAAGCTTAGCAACTAGTAAAAAGAGAGTTAACGCTGCGTCTGACCAACCACGAGTAATAGTGAGAGAACATCGATAAAATAAACAATAACATCATTTTGTAGCGTATCTGCTTGTCGATGCATAGTCTCACAATGTTTTTCACACATTCGTACAACACAATTGTGCAAACTGCCGTAATCGCCCAAATTTTAAATGTGTTGTCTGTAGCATTGAAGTACATGTGCTTATATCTAGCAACACCTGCTTCGTAAGGACCTGAAACAATAAATTTCTTTCCGTGAAGACAAATACCATTTGGATTTAAAACATGTACAAATGGGTGTACCTTTGAACACCGTGTCCCAACAGGAACACGTACAGTGTTCCTTATTGACATTCACGTTAAAGTCGCTCCAGAATTTTTCTAAAATCATTATGTGTAATGCTGGTAGGAAAACGGGTACGAGGAGAGCTATACATTGTGATTTTTTCGATGCAACATTAGTCGGAGCAGTCAACATCATTGTTAAGAAAAAAAAAACGACAACTTGTACCTATACCGGCTATACCTACCAACGGCTGTTACATACGGTTTAATGTAAGTAAAAAGCGACTTAGGTCTTACAATATATTCTGAATGTTGGATTTTCGTGTAACACACTCGTCGGCGATTTATCTACGCACTATTCACGTCACGTTCTTCTGCTTTAGCCATTTCCAATCACGCATATAATCGAATTTTTGAATCTATGTAAAATCCTACAATATTGTTTATAGCATAAATCTATTTGATAACCATTATCACACATCATAACACCCGCCTAACCAGAGAAGAGTTCCCAATGTTCCCATGTAAACAAAACTAAGAAATTGGTCATTTGGGCAGTTTTAAACTTTTGATATTTACGTAACTATAGACAACAAAGTGAAATATGAATGTATAAGGCCTTGTTTAGTGCTAAAATGTATTTATTTTCAACTAATGTGGAGAGAAAATATTTATTTTTTTTGAGATTGCTCCAGCCTCCAAGTTATCCTTAAAATAGCGTAACTTGGGGTTGGGGAATGTGTCAAATATTGTACGAAATCTCAGTTTAGGGCTGTTGTCATACTTGGAATTAATGTGTAAAAAAGCGTGAACACATAAGACATAACTACTTTTATTTTAATAGTTACACTTATTGTTGTAAGTATTTAGATGCTATTATTAGTAGCTTTATAAAATAAGTACATATAAAAGTTAAAAAAAAAAGTTTACTATACATCGAAATTTTTGATCATTATTTTTAATACATTTAAGAAAGGTCTTGAGATCCATAGTCGTAATAATCACGTGTTTAAATTTTCTTATCGTTCAACTAGAACATTAGACACATGCTGATATTACATAAATTATTATAGAGGTTCGAACTCTGAAGTCCATACTTATCATTTTATGCATAATCTAAATTAGTTAGATATAAAGATTATTTTATGTTCTAATGCTTTATAAAAACCAATAGTAATTAAATGGTCGATTTAATAAACAACAAGCAACTTTCTGAGAAATTACAATATTATAGGGTATAATTCTATATCATATTATGCACTGTACAGATAGTAATAGGAAGACTTGACAAACTTTTTATTCTAATAAATATTTTAAAATTTTTTCATATTATTTATTAACTCTCGTGTTACACAAATCATATAACATTCCTTATTTTATTTTTTAATGCTTAAAATAACATTTTTTTTAATTTTTAGATTCTGAGCGTAGCGATGAATGTATTGATTTTACCATGTGTGTTTTTTTTTGTGTCTCATCACGTTTTGGGGCAGTAAAAATGCTTCGATTTTTGACTTCAGTATCTCATTCGATCAGAAAGTGAATCTAGTTGGTACTTTGGGGGGTCAAAAGTAAAATATTCTTAATACTTTTCTAAATAATCGAGAAAAACAAACTAAAAATTAAG